AGCTCTCCCATTGTATTTTCCTGAATCTCATCTATGGTCTGATATCTCTTTCCTTTCAAAGGCAATTTTAGTGTTGGGAAAAGCCAAAAGTTTCAGGGCACCAAATCAGGACTGTAGGGGGGCTGAGTCACCTGGGTGATCTGATATTTCACCAAAAAACTGCATGTGATGTATGAACAGGCATGTTGTCATGATGAAGCTGCCAGTCACCAGTTGCCCATAGTTATACCTTTCTGAATCAGCCGAATAGTTTCCACAGAGAAATGTTCAAGCTTAATGCAATATTTGATGCAGGTTCCTTGCTCTAATCACTCAGGCATTTTGAATGGGATGGCCACGCAGGACACATGCTCACCTAATGGCCTCCACTGACACTAGTAACTAACCTAATGGTCTCCACTGACACTACTACAGTGAAGTTGCCATTAGTCATGCATGCACATTCCAGTCCACTCTCCTTGCCTGCCAGGTTTCATCAATGTCATGCAAGCCCTTCTCATTATTAACAACGCCTGGGCTTCTTCTGGACAGATCTCATATGCACCGCCATGTTCATTGCAGCATTATTCACTGTGGTCAAGACATGGAAACAGCCAAAGTGTCCTTCGACAGATGCTTGGATAAAGAAGATGTGATACACACACACACACACACACACACACACACACACACACACACTGGAATGCTACTCAGCCAAAAGAAAATATGAAGTACTGCCATTTGCCACAACATGGACCTTGAGAATATTATGCTAAGTGAAATAAGTCAGTCAGAAAAACCTAAGAACCATATGATTCTTAGTTCATATGATTCATTCATATGTGGGATATAAAACTGAAACTCAGACACACACAATAGTATGGTGGATATCAGAGAAAAGGATGTCTGGGGGTAGTAAAGGGTAAAGATGGACAAATGTATGGTGATAGAAGATGATTTGACTTTGGGTGGTGGGCACACAATGCAATATACAGATCAGGTATCAGAGAAATGAACACTTGAAACCTGCACTATCCTGTTAACCAATGTCATCCCAATAAACGTAAATAAATAAATAAAATGATGATGTAAAAGCCTTGAAAGTACAATATGATATTAATCTGAACATTTTTAAAAAAACTAAAAATGTAACTTTTACATAATTTTGAGGAAACATATGCTATCACCCTAACATAAAATGACTTGTATTGAGGCTGATTTTAATATGAACGGGGGAGTTATTAGGGATTTTGTTGTCACATGACAGGGGTCTGGAGTCAAAAGCTCTCTAGTGCAACTTTTTGTCCTGTGTGTCCTGTTGTCTGTAAGAGCGAACAATTGTATAGTCTTTTTCCAGCCTCTATTTCTCTGTTATTTTAATAGAACAATTAGCAATAATAGTAACATAAGCAGTCAATATTTGTTGAGTTCTCAAAGTATTTAGACACACTCATTTGAGCTTTATATGCATTATTTTTTTTGTTTTCCCGAGATTTTATAAAGCAGAAACCATTATTATTATTATTATTATTATTATTATTATTATTTTACAGTCAAAGGGGCACTGAGAGGTTAAGTTGCTTGCCCTATGATAAGTCGTGGACCTGGACCATGATGAGACTCTTTGACTCCAAAGTCTGCACTTCTGACCTCACTGCTCTCCTCCCCCCAGTCATCTGGGCTCACACATTGTCTTTGTGTGCTATCTACCTTCCTCTGGTAAATACTGAGACACCTTATGCTTAGATATTTGGGTGATCTATTGCTGCATGGGGAACACTCAAATGACATGATGTCTACCCCATTTCCAGGAACATAATGGGCACTCAGCAAATAGCTGTTAAATTAATGAATGGGTAATAAATTAATAAGGCTTAATAAATGAGTAATGAACAAATCTTAAAACATCCAAAAATCTCTAGGAGTTATTTATTAGAGAAACATCTCCCAGAAAATGTTTTTTCTAAATTAGGGGTAAATGTGAAGGCATGCTGACTTCTCTCCAATAATACTTTCTAGTTTCTAGGAATTTTAGGAGAAATCTGGCAATGGGAAAAACTTCTAAAAATGTTCACTGAATGACTCCTTATAAAACTATATTGAAGGCTACTTGGTAAAAAAAAAAACCAAACTAATAAATATTTAGGTTATGTTCACACGCTTTTGCACAATTTACTTGAAGTTGGATAAGGGAGGCGGGACGGTGGTGCTCAGTATTGTTGTATTTAACACTAACCCAACAGCAATAACAAATAAAACATTACTTTTCTTTATTATTATTGGCCTTCTTACTATTATTTCTCTTAACTATTACTGCTTCATTGACAATATGTAGTTTGGAGCTAGGTTATAAATATTCAGTCTTAGTACCAATCTGTTCTCAAAATATAAAGTCAATAATCTTCCCATGATCTCATAAGTCAGACTTATCTTTGTCTCCTTTCGGTTACTGCAGTAGCCCAAAGGGCCATGAGAGCTGGAAAGAAGGGGAAGACCCACCCCAAATATCTGCGGGACCCAGAGCAGGAATACACATGGAACCCAGATACTTATGCCTAAAAACTATAAATCAAGGTAATATAAATGTCCTGTCTCTAACAAAGCCTGACAACATACTCAGAGAACAATGTTCTATTACTCTTAATTACTGGAAGTCCAGTTTCAAATTTAAAATCTTCAGATTCCTTGAAATGTACACGAGGCATGGCAGTGTGGAAAGAGCAAGCTTTCGCTCTCAGTCTCCAGCCTGCCTCTTCTCCCGGTTCCAAATCCCAGCACAAGGAGTCTCTCATGCATGAATGTGGACTCTGCATCCCAGATGTCCAGGCTCTGTCCACATGTTTTACATACAGTGCCCCTCAGCTAAAGTTGCATACACACCAGTATGATCCAACCTCAGGAGGAGAGAACCAACAAACTGGCTCAGGCAGACCCTGGAGGTGCACTCGGGGCATTTGAGCAGGGAACTCTATAGAAAATATTAGTACGTATTTCTGAAAAACACAAATGTTATTGGTGCTTATTAATACTGATAATTTTAATATAGACAATTGATTAAGTACGTATTGGAGGACTGAAAATGCAAAGAGGACTGTACAAAGTTCATGTTTTTCTGAATATTATGCTACTAATCCCAGCTATCCACAGGACATTTACAATGATTTGCCAAGATCTTAAATTTTGCTGGGAAAGAGGGATATTAGGAAAGGGGGGTTTTGCAGTCAGCTAACACAAAAAGGAAGCTTGTGCCAGCCATGTGCATAGAGGAACCACAGCATCATTTAAACTCTCCTGTAAACCCATAAACTACTTTCTGTCTGGCATTTTCCTCCTGTCTGCTCTTCTGGATATTCATTGCAGGCGACAGAGCTCTGTGGAAATGCTGTGGAGTAAAAGAGAAAGAGCAGAGTATGGCCCATACCAGAGATGCCACTCCCACCCTCACCCATTCTCACGAAATCACTCAAGTGGGAGCCTTGTTCCTGGTCTATGAGGAGTCCTTCTGTAGCAATACATACATATATATGAACATATATGCATACATATATACATACGGCTTCTTAAACATAAAGTCACTAGCTCCCAGCCCAAAAATGAAAGTCCATTTTTTAAATCCATATGTAAAGAAAACTCTTATGTGTTTAAGGATATTGCTAATTACATAATTAAATCCTAGTATTACATGGAATTTTAGATATTTTTTTCCTGAAGTATGTTTTCAGCTAAGTAATCAGAAAAATCTCTCATAGCAATTGATCAGGAAATAAAGCAAACAAATAATAACATTCCTAAAAGTCAATCACTATATTATTATTTAGTAAATAAACACTTTCCGTAGCTGTAAAGCAGCAAAGAGCATTATATCAGAAATAGATAACCTTGAATATAAATGTTTAAGAGAATATTTTTAGGGACATCCTAGTTCTGAATCTCCTATATAGATATAGTTGAAATTAAGCAGTTAGCCCATGTACTTGGAATAAGTACTCTTTCTGGGGAGAAAAAATATTAGCTTAATCTTAATTACCTAAAGTTACCAGCTTTCCTGATTGATTACACAAGTGATCTTGGGCAATTAACAAATCTGAATTCACTTGTAAAATGAAGTTGAATAATATTATCTAGTCCTCAAAGCACTTTTTGAAACTCAGAGGTCATAACTATGAGAACCTGAAGGGCAGGGGCCAGGTGGGGGAGTGCTTCAAAGCACAGCTCATTTCTTCCTTTTTTTTTTTTTCTTTAGAGTTCGTAGCTCTTACACATTATAATCAGTTGAAGAGCCAACTTATCAACTTTCTCTCACTATAATTCCATTCAAAGAAAACCTCAAGGTGAAATGGGAAGCCTTGCCTAGCACAGTCCCTACAGCAGCACGCGAAAAGCTTCAATGAACCCAGACTCTCTTTTCTTCACGCATAAGCTTTGTGAAGTGTTCAACTACACTTCTAGAATTTGGCATGATACACAATTCCTGGGTGTACACGGCTACACAGGGTGGTTAGTGATGTTTTCAAGCTTTGTAGAAACAGGACAAAAGGAAGTCGCTGACTCTGAAAAGACTGATGGGACATCAGAAGGAACTTTCTGACAACGGGAATTCTTAAATCCTGGAGAAGCAGGACACAAATGGAAATGTGATAACTTCTTTCATTTGAATAGAGTTTAAAAGTAAAATAAATTAAATAAAGGAAGCCTACAATAGACAAAGGATAGAGGGGTTGATCTTTCAAGGTGTTCTCTTGACTGCAGCATTTGATTAATTACTGTTGTTATTTGTGGGGCAGTAAGCACTCCTGTGTTCCCTGCTTGATATTTAACACCTGAGACAATCACCTATACCTCCAACTATAAACAAAAGCAATGAAATAATAAAAAGCAATAATTTTTATGTCGGCTTCTCTTTTCTTCCAAAGTCACCAAATTGGTTTTTATGCATCTATTCAGGTGCTGGATGAGTTAAGAGTGTCCCAAGAAAGAGTATGTTTTCTGAATCACCTCTTCCTTCTCATCCTTTAACATGGTCAGCAGGATGCCACGTGCTTTTTGCTTAGCTTCTTCATGGCTCTCTTCATATCAGCATTTCTGAGTGTGTAGATGAGAGGGTTCAACATAGGTGTGATCACTGTGTAAAAGAGGGAGAACACCTTATCCACAGAGAAGCTGCAGAAAGGCCTCAGGTAGATGAATACACATGGCACAAAGATCAGGCTGACCACTGTTAGGTGAGAGGCACAGGTGGAGAATGCCTTGCTCTGGACCTGGTGGAAGCGAGTTCTCAGGGTAATGAGGATGACAGCATAGGAGAAGAGCAAGACCAAGAAGCAGACAAGAGACAGCAGACCACTGTTCAAGACCATCAGTACCTCTACCACATATGTATCCATGCAGGCTAGCTTGACGACCTCTGGGACATCACAGTAGAAGTTGTCCAATTCATTGGGGCCACAGAAGGGCAGAAGCATGACCAGTGTGACCTGTGTGATAGAGTGGATGAAACCCCCACACCAGCAGGCAAAAACCAACTGGAAACATAGCTGGTAGTTCATGACTGTCAGATAGTGCAAAGGATCACATATAGCAACATACCTATCATAGGCCATGACTGTCAGCAGAAGCATCTCACTGGCTCCCAGAAAATGCAGGAAGTAGATCTGAGCAAGGCATCCCGAAAAAGAGATGATCTTGTCCTGCCGTAGGAAATCCCCTAACATCTTGGGCACAGTAACACAGCTCAGGCATAGGTCAATGAAGGACAGATGGCTCAAAAAATAGTACATAGGAGACTGGAGTAGGTGAGCATCAGCTCGCACTGTTAGCACTATCAAGAGGTTTCCCAGGACAATAGCCATGTAGAACAACAAAAATATTAAGAAGAGAAATAGCTGCAGCTTCCAAGACGATGACAGGCCCAGAAGAACAAATTCTGCCACTTTTGAATCATTTTCTTTTTTCATGAAGTCAAGAATACCAAGTGACCTAAAAAAGGAATTAAATTGGAACAAGAGAAATTTTAGTTAGACAAAAGGGGAAAAAAAGTCATCAGATTTTGAGTCTGGTGTTCATAAATCATATTCCAAGATTAAAAAAAAACTTAAGCAACTTTTGTGAGGTGAGACATGTACATTTCTGTATAAACAGAAGAAGGAACATTTTGCATCTCTCCCAACTCTTCCTGCAACGCTTTCAAATGGCAGTTACAACAGACTAGGAAAGGAGGTAATGACTTGGACATGAGGTGATGAGAGCATGAAAATCATTTCTTTTTTTAAAAAAAGGTTTTATTTATTTTTAGAGAGAAGGGAAGGGAAGGAGAAAGACAGAGAGAAGTGTCAATGTGTGGTTACCTCTCATGCACCCCCAGCTGAAGACCTGGCCCGCAACCCAGGCACAGCCCTGGTGGGGAATCAAACCAGCAACTCTTTTTTTCACAGAATATCACTCAGTCTATTGATCCACACCAGCCAGGACTCATTCCGTTTTTTAAATAGACAGAATTATATTCTTTAAGGACAAGAGTTCTAGAATGAAGTATCTGGATCCAATGCCCAGTCACAAATAGAGTGACCTCAGGCAAGGTATTAAATCTGAGTTTTATTCTTTGTTTATTCAGTTTAAGATAAGGATAATAATATCTCTCAAAGTTGCTTTGAGAATCAAATGTAATCTATCTTTGAGCAACAAACAGTTACCCCCAAAATGATTAAGTCCCCCAAAGTGAGGAAATAGTTCCCATTCATCTTTGTACTCATACCACAATGCTTACTGCATAATTGTCAAATTGAAGGAAGAATATTTTGTGCTGTGAATTGCTGTACTGTACAAAGGCTAGTAGTTATCATAAATGTGCATGTTAAGAAACAAATTATTTAGGAAGAATTGAAAAGAACCTCATGTTCTTTGTCTTTATTTATTATCCCAGGTGACAAAGGTTGGGAAGTTTATAGAGATTGAGTAAGAAGAAATAAAATCTTTATCTTTAAAGCTTAGGGAAATATCAAACTCAGGACGAATAGGACAGCTGCTGGAACACACTAATTACCAAAATAAGAGACCAAGGGCCATGATTCATATCATTGAGACATGTACAGAAGAGTCTCACCACAACCTATTTTATAGAAAAGGATAATAAGGGAAGTGAGGATTATGCTGCTTTTGGACTTTTCAGCAACTATAAATATACTTAAGAGAAATGGAGAACACAAGAAGACATTGTTCATCCATTACTCCTGCTGTGTACCTACATTCACTCCAAATATAGGGTGGGAATATCCAGATGACAAATGAAAAATCAGGTAATATTGATACATTTTTTTCCCATGGAAGTGCTTAAGAATTAGCAGAGCCTGTCTGTCCAGATTAGGATATTTTCAATACAGAACTAGCTCTAGGCAAAACATTAAGTGAGGCAAAATTTGTATTTTTCTGTCTTCAGTCCCAGTTACCTTTTTCAGGTGTCCCCAACTCCTTGGGCCAAGGACCAGTGCGAGACCGGGGCCTGTGAGGAACCTGGCCGCACCGCAGCAGGTGAGCTGGAATGTAATCCACATGAATCACCCTGAAACTGCTCCACCCCTCCCACCCAGGTCCGTGGAAAAACTGTCTTCCACAAAACCGGTCCCTGGTGTCAAAAATTGGGGACTGCTGACCCATTCCATGTTGCGCTTGGTTCTCAGATCGTTCAGGGAAAGTTATCTGATAATTATTCAAACTAGGTGTCAAAGAGTTACATAGACAATGCAAAAAAGTACCTAAATTTCAAAAATAAGAAATTTTAAATCCAAGAGATTTCTCTGTATACATTACTTCATGATAAACAAGCAGAAGAGAGATTTCGGGCCCAAGGAACTTTTGGATGTCTCTTTCACACTACGTGTGTGACCCCCCTCTTCATCTGTCTGTAGAGCAAGGATATAAAAGTCTTTGTAGGAAGATGCAAAGGCAGCATGATGGGGAGAATAAAATCAAGCTCTTTACATAATTAAAGATGATTTGTGGATAGCTGAGCAGCTAGTCTCTAGTTTTTCTAAGCAGGAAACCAGAGAGATCTACGCATAAAATACTAAGAATGGAAGTAAAGTTTTTTTTTTTCAAATAGTGTATTATGTTTTGCTAGTTTGCTTGTTTATTTTTGCCTGTTTTGAACTAAAATAATTCTCAGAAAAAGAAATGACCAAAACAATGATGGAAAGTCATTTTCTAGTTGGAGTTTAAGTGCCCTGTGAACTCCTTCTGAAGATATCTGATGTGTTTTCTAATTTCTTTTGAAATGCCAAGAAATAGACATCATTCATTGGAGATGGCACTCATCATGGTCTTCCCCATTGAAAAAGGCATAATATTTCTGCTCTAAACATATTTGGCTTTGTTTGAATTATTGCATTTTAAATTGCATGTGGGGGAAGTGAAAAAGATTTAACAAAAAGCAACTGAAATAATTCAAAAAATAAAAAATAGGATCTAGGAGGGACCATTGTAGAATTAGGCAGTCTTAACACAGTGTTGCATGAATCAAATGTTTTCTGTTATATAAAGCTGATCCTATCTTATCCAGGCCTTATAATCACCTTCGAAGGTATCACCCGTCCTGGAATTCCCTGATGCTATGGGAATTTCATTTTCTGTGAATGCTTCTAAATGTATAAACCTAGAACAACAAAACTGCAATGATTTCTTAAATTTAATAATGATAAATGTCAGAGTACATACAGAAAAAAAAATACACACAACACAAGGCATAAAAGTGGTTTTAGAGACAGAAAGAGGAACAAGGATGGTAAGCAGATCTTTGAATAAATATGTCTGAGAAACTTACATCTTTGCATGTCAGGAGCTATGTGGTTTTAAGGAAGAGATATGCTACCTGTTGTGCATCCCCCTTCTGAAGAAACTATCTTCATAGTTTCAGGCCAGCAAAATGAGAAATCCTCAGATGACCATCACAACCGCCCAGTCTGTGCCTAACTGCTTTCTTATAAATCAAGCTGTCATTGAGGGCTGGCTGTACAGATTGAAAGATCTCTTATCCCTAGGGCTCTGGCTGTGTCTGAGGCTTTCATAGTCTTTACGCCACTGCTCAGCTTAATGAGCCCTGTGATTCCCAAGGCTGCTGCTATGAGAATTGTCTGAATCTCAGTTCTTGCAAGAAAGCTGACCTTAGGCCCTGCAGGCTGTGAAACACTCAGACCTATTGCATAACACAACCCACCCTTTTTACCTACCTGGAATTGATTGATTTGAGAGCATTTCCAATCAGGGCAAATTTGGGATTCATTTCAAAAGCTTTGCAAAGGCAGAAGTGAAGGCCCAGGGTCTCCTCTAGATGGGGAGTCCTAGAGGAGATTCTCTGCATATTAAGCTGGGACACAAAGAACTGTATCTTCAGGAAAGTGGAAAACAGGACTAAGCATGTTTCCCTCCCCTTTCCCAGCCTGACAATGAGTACAGGGGTAGAGAAAAAAAAATGGAGAGAAAATAATCCTTGAGAAGTTAGGGCCACAGAGAAGCCCTCACAAATGTGGCGGCCTTAGTATACTTAGTGGGAATCTCAGACTTTGACTTTGCTTAAGGATGTCCTAACAAACAGTGCCCTCAAGTTGCAAACCCAAATCCTCTGTGGAGGAAGGCATGTTCCTCCCAGGCCTTAGAGAATCCGACAAATAACTTTTCAAAGACAATGAGCAAAACCAAAAGTAACTATTACCTTTATGTTGCCACGGTAACACAAGAAATTACCACAAATTGGTGGCTTAAACAAATAAATTTATCATCTTACAGTTATTAAGTAATTAACTATTAAGTTTTCTGAGATCAGATAAGCAACAGGGTCAAGAAAAGGTAATCAAGGCTGGAACTATTTCCACCACAATGCCAGCACTTCCTGCCTTGGGTCACTAAGTTAATATGTTTGTGCAGCCACTGGCTTCTCAGCCCCCTTTTTATAACCCCCTGCCCTTGATTGGTTCACAATCCTTTCTGCATTAAATTATTTGACATACCATTACAATTTATATACGGTGTTTTTTCAAAGCCAACGGCGTCCCAGAGAGAGAGCTAGGGATAGAGAGAGAGCATTAGGGATGGCAGTAAGAAAATATTGTTCTTTTTTGGTTCTGAGCATTTAAGCTTTCCAAAGGACACAGCAAGGTGATATTGTAAAATTATTGTACTGGTTCATGGTTTCCTCAGAGGAAATGAAAGCAGAAAGTTATTTTTCACTTTCAAATATGAGTCATGGTGTTTATGAGCCATCAAACCCTTGTTAAGCTGACCGAGCATTGAACCTCTCTCAACTGCAACTAACTCACTCACAAAGTAATATTTATAAACAAATATTATGCATGCATAAGATTTCAGGGAAAATAAGGACATAGGGCACATGGGAAAAATATTACAAAAAACAAGAAGATTAACTTATTAGTTTAACAAGTTTTGATGTGCAAATTCACTACAGAGTTTGCTCTTATTGACAACAGTGAAAGAAATAAGAATTAACACTTTGAGGCACTTGTTTTGCACTAGGCACCGTTCCAAGTCCTTTACTTTACGTACTACTCATGACAACCCGAAGATTTCAGGTCAGAATTATTCTATCTCTAGTTTACTGAGAGTGAAAGAGGCACAGAAAGGAACTCACTTACTTAGAGACGATATTTGAGCCCAGGCAGGCTAACTAACTGCAGGGCCCACACTTTTCTACTGTCATAGACAAGAAGGGCCAACACTCTGGAATCAGATAGGTTGGTTTCAAACCTAAGTAACATCGTAACTGTGTGAGCCTCTTGTATGCACATTATTTGTCCTTTCATGATTTTTTTACTCCATAAGATACAGCTAATAACAATACTTTTGTCACTGTGATGAAAAAATAAGGTAAATCAGAATAAGGTCTTATACATACTGTTGTACGCAACTGTATGCAGTTAATATTACAAATATCTTTCTTTTGTAAAAGTATTATTTACAAAAGATTTTGAAATACTCTCCCATTTCATCCTCACAAATTCTGTCACAGTTAGGGTAGATTTTTTCATACTTATTTATATATGAGACCCAAGGAAACCCACTCACTTATTCAACGTCACATACATAAGGAACCAGTTCTGCTGACTTCAATATCACTAAGAATCCTGCTGTCTTACACTTTCTCTCCTGGAAACCATGGCATATCCTATGTAGCTCCCTTTGGACCTCCTTGGCAATGCAAGCCAAAAAGCTCTATTAGTCTCAGAAATGAATATTGCAGAGGAAAAATGCAGGTGAGAGATCCACTTTTCAGTTTTTTTAAGACAATAACTACACAAATTACGTGAAGATTTATGTAAAAAGTTTAATGGGCAAAATATGTTACAGAGTGAAAAAGGCATATCATGAAACAGCATTGTCATACAAGCTTACTTAAATATTGAGTGATGGTATTATGGGTAATTTAGATTCTTTTCTTTTTTTTAGTTGATATCTGTTTTTTTCCTCATTTTTTTCATGATAAACATGCATACTTCATGTAATGTATAAAGGATGAGGAATTTAAAAATTAATATTTACAAAGGGATATATGATTTAGAACAATGCTTTTAGATATAGCATTTACCTAAGCATTTCTTCTACTTTATGCATTAGAAAAAAATAATGCTACTGGCTTTGGTGAGCATTATAGCATATGCCTTTCCAAAACTTCTCAAAAGACTTTTTCATAGGGTCAGTTTGTGGAAAGGAGTAAATTTGGTTCCATAGTGCTTTTATTTCACTCAGAACCAGTACAATCTCTAAAAGAAAGGGAAGTTCTTGGCAGCCAGTTCTGCCTTTACAGTTTTTGTTCTAGATGCTTGGGACAAAGAAAGAAAGGAAATAAAGAGACATATCAAACAATATTTCTAATGAATCTTCCCAAATGGGAAAAACTCCCCCATAGACCTCCTATCTATGTATTTTTATCTCTCACCTGAGGCCCCTGCTAATACAAGAATAAATTTTCACTAAAAGAGAGTTTGAATTATTATGCTTTGAACACCTATCTTTTATTTACTTCTGTTTCTTTTTAACAACATATTTCAAATGTTCATATCTTTTAAAGACTATGAGCCATACCCTGGCCAGGTGGCTCAGTTGGTCAGAATGTTATTCTCTCTGTGCACCAGAAGGTTGCAGCTTCTATCCTGTTCAGGGCACATAGCTGGGTTATGGGTTCAATCCCCAGTCAGGGTGCATATATGAGACAACTGATTCTCTCTCTCTCTCTCTCTCTCTCTCTCTCTCTCTCTCAAATTAGTGAATAGATCCTTGAGTGAGGATTTAAAAGAAGAATATAAGCAATTTATCTATCTATATATACTTTAAATCATCTTAATTAAAACAGAGTCACTTTTTAAAACATGATCATTTAACTGCCTGAAAAGAAGAAAAGAATCCAGATTGAAAGAGAGAATGGTGTTTTGTGTTAAATAATTACTCCACATTTTACCTATATGAATGATGAAAACAAAGGGGAAACTCAAGATCTATCCAGGGACCCAGACCTATTGTATACATTAGCCGTAGATTTAGCTCCCAATAATAGAAACCCAAGTAACAAGAGCTTATGCAAAATATTTAGTTTTTTTCTCTCATGTAAACTTGTAGAGATAGTCCAGAAGAAGGCAGTTCTAAGATACCATCAGGGACTCGGGCCCTCCTGGCTTTTTGATAAACCCTTTTTAGCACATATTTTCTTCTCACAGACACCTTATTATCTGAAGATGGCAGCTGCAACTCTGATAGCAAAAGCTTTTGATTGAATAGAAGTATGTCACATGACCCCTATGTGCAAGACAGTCTCTGTAACATTTAATTTTTCAAGCTGGGCACATTGCCACCAGAATAGAATTGAGGTTGTATTAGTCAGGAAATAAATTGATAGTAGACATGAAGCCCCACACGTATTAGCCATAAAATAAGGAAATAAATATAGTGATGAAATTTTAGAAACAGCCCCCTTTCTCAATGCTACCTCTTTAGGGTGTTGATATTGAAACAAATCTCTATATCCAAATAAACAGAAAGAGAGACACATTTAGTGGATAGAAGAGTTTTAAAAGACAAAAACGTTAGTAAGAACAAAAAAATTAGGCCTTATAGAGCCTAAGATTTTAGTCAAAACTTATGAATGTGTTTGCGGAAAAGAAACATAAATTTGCTTCCCCAATCCTCAACAAACAAAAGCAAATCATGTGATACTTTTAAAAATTGAATGCTTCAGAAAAATGACAAGAGAAATATTTTAATATTGCCATGATCAGGCTTATGTAATCGTTACTCCAAAAACAAAGGTAGAAAAATATATACCCAAAGAGAGTCTCTATCAAGTCAAACATGATGTGAATTAGAGTGTTGGGGGCTGAAGAAGGAGGACTACTTCGATTTTTCCCAAGGGAGGGTCGACTGAGATGTCTTCTGCAAACAACTCCGGAAAAAGCTGAGCACGGTGGGGTGAGAGAGAGAGGATTAGTGGCTGTGAAAGGGAGGAGATTCAGCGAAGCCAGGGTGACTCCCAGCAGGGGCCTGGATGCGGTCCTGTCGCTGGAGGGCAGGCTCAGACGGGCAATACTGTGCACACAATGCTCAGTTCAAGCCCACTTTCCACACTAAAAATGATACGCAAAGAAGCCAAATCCCAAAGGAATAACATAAGAACGCACTTGGAAACAAGATATTCATTCAAAAAACAGTTTTGATACCTGTTAGTCCTACCAACACGAGGCATCACCCCCTAAAGAAGAATACACAAAAATGTTTTTCAGAATCACACCTGCACTTTCATAATAAATTCATTCTTCCCAATGAAAGTAATGTATTTACTTGTTTGGTAAAAGAAAAAGAAAAATTTATTCTAGTGGAAAGGGGCAAGACTCAATGGGGTATTTGT